CCCCCCCCCCCCCCCCCCTCTTTGCTTTTAGCAACCTGGGATGCTCTGGCCAGATTGGGGCAGCAGTGCAGCCATGCTGCTCTGCCTGCTGCACCCCAACATAACCCAAAGAGATGCCGCCTGAGACAACAGCCAGCTCTGACCACATACAACTAGTGGAGGCTGCCTATATATAAAGGAGGTCCAATGACGGTGGGCATTGCATATTGTAGGAAGCCATCTGGAATATTTTAATATATATTGCGATTTCATTTCAGGACAAGACGTGTTTAGCAGCGGAGTGGCGGGTGCTGTACATGGAGGATTGCTTTGTGCCTGTGCCATTCTGAACCGGATCTTGTACATAGACTTAATGATGCTGAAAAAGCGCGTTAAACGCCGCCAGCAACAGAGACGTTCATAGAGACAGGAGAAGGAAGGTTACAACTCTTCCTACTATGAGAACTCATAATTTAGCTTTGTGTGGTTCTTGACAAGTGAAGTCACATTCTGGCTTCCTTTAGTTCTCATGATCTTCACTAGGATTCCCAGGGTCACTGCTTGGACACTCACAAAGTCAGTTCATTGTGTTCACCAAATTGATTTTCTCTAATCAGGAACAAACAAAGAATGATTGAAGGGAGCAACACATTTCTATAGGCTTGTGGGAGGGGCTGTAGACATGAAGCGTTGTGGGAAAAGCCCACGTCTCCAAGATATGTGATGATTTTACTTACTGTTGTCTAACCAAAAAATCATCAATAAAAATTATTGTATCTCTTATCCCAGTATGTGATGAATTATTTTCCACTGCTCCAGAATAATGAGACACATTGTTAAAGGAGAACTATGAGATGAGTGATTTCCACATACGCTAATTTGTGTCCTCCCGTTACCCCAAGGAGAACTATGGGGAAAAACACTGACCCCATAGTTCTCCTTTAACTGTCCCTCATTTGGAATCAAATCCATCTGTCTCACTTTTCTCCTCAGTTGTCCCTCTTTTTGGTCTGATGTATAGATCTCTATGAAAATGTACTATTCAACCACCAAAAGTGTTATTGAGCAGAAAAACCTTGTTCTTATCTCTTAAATAATGTTTTTGACATTTTGAATAGCCAGTATGAAGGAAAAGTAATGTTGGAAAACAAAACAATTCTGGGTTTAAACATTCATTTTTGGCATATAATATTTATGGTCCGCATAACTGGTGGTAGGACAGGAGTGTGTCCATTGCCTAGATACATTGTGCTGGAAGGTGTCCCTTTTTCTCATCTCAGAAAGTTGGGAAGTTTGTAAATCTATCTCTATGTATAAATTATATATATTCGCTTTACCAGCTCTCAATCCAAAAAAACATTACCTTGGTGCTCCACATGATTGTAGTAGGACAATGAAGGTTTGTTAAGCATCCAAAGGTCTTCCACAGGCGTAAATGCATGAAATAGTAGATTTATTACACCTACTGTTTGATGCATTTACTCCTTTGGAAGACCTTTGCGCTCCAACCAAACATTCATTATATTACTATAATCGTGTGGAGTGCCATGGCAATTTTTTTTACATATGTTTTATTTATATATGTTTTATATGTTGTTTTATACACTGTATGTGAGATAGAGATAGAGATGATGGTTTGTATGTTGGTACCAGCACACAACCTGGAAAGTCTTGCCTAGGTTCTCCACATGGGAGCACTAATGTAGCAAATGTTCAGTAGCCACTCAAAGCTCTTCCACTGCAAAAAAAATTATGACCCCACTCGGAGCGCCGCCCACCGGAGCAGCAGTGACGCGACGCTCGGCGAGGTAAGTAAGAAGAAACCTGACCAGCGTACTCACTTTCCTCAGTTCTCAAAACGCTGACTCGAGTATAAGCCGAGGGGGGGCATTTTTCAGCACAAAAAATGTGCTGAAAAACTCGGCTTATACTCGAGTATATACGGTAAATGGTAGGTTTATTTCACCAAAGCTAATACATGTGGAGATTTTTTTTTCATGTCTCATGGCACATTCTTTGTACCATGCATTTCCATATTGTTACATGTATGGTGTTGCTGGTGCCCCCTTTTGCGCAGTAAATGGAACACAGGCAACTGCACTGCGGTTCCCTCAGTGCTCTCCATCTCTCTGTTTTCGGATCCTTTTGTTCTCTCTAATAGGTTAGTGTCATGGGGACCCCTAATGTGCAGTAAGAGTAATGCAATTTACAACCGATTGTCTACCGTAGAGGGAGGATGGTAGGAAATGCTCCTGGGACCACAAACCAGATTATGAGGAAATGGCCTAAGGGTGGGCAACCATTCTGACCCTTGAATTTCATTATCAAAGCAACTCATTTGGACTGATAATAACTTCAGAGCTGCCATGAGTGCTCTTTGCATACATTACAGGAAAGTAGAGAGCTATCATGAGAAAAAGCAAGCAAAGCATTACGGCTTCATACCAGATATATAGGAAAACCATATTTTAACAAATATGTGTTCAATGAAAACTTTCATGAAGTGTACTGCTCGATGAAGTACCTGGATCTCTCTTTATATCAGCCTTCTGTTATTCCTTGAATGGAAGGACTAACACTGAAGAAGAAAGGGCAGCACACTAAGTCAGTGGCACAATGCTTTGGTCTAATGCTGTTAATATGTCAACAGAAGAAAAACAAAAAAGAGTGTTGACTTCATCAGTAAACCAAAATTCCTTCATGGAGCAGGCATAGCATAGGAAACGCCCAGGACCAAGATGTATTGCCAAAGTGGTGTGTAATCTGCAGTGAGGTCTAAGACTTGATTGTGGTATCTAGTAGGGTTGTCTCAATCAGAAGACTGGCTGAAGAGAATTACAACTCTTTTGACAAGTGTAGTTCTTCACATATACTGTCGATAATTATACTGTGTGTTCTGCTCTTTGCCTGGAGTTCTACCTAAAGAAGAATTTATGCCCAATTTTTATATGAACCCCTTTTTTAAATTGCCAGTTGGATGGATGTATCTGGTTTTAATACTTTCTGAGCCAGAGACCTGGAACAACGATGTAACCATCAAAATCAGATCAGATTTGCTGAAGGTCCCTGGATCAGCTTGACAGACAGGGGATTTCCCTTTGTCAAAAGGTGAGGCCAACATTGACAGCCTCCATATATATCCCAGCACAGGCTTCCTTTTCTGAAAATAGATATACCGTACACCTAAGTCCACAGGTCTGGGTCTCTTGATGGCACTGTTTCCAGGTATGGGCGACCCCTAACCCAGCATTGCAGATGTACCAGGGCCAACCAGTCCACAACAGTCTCTGATGTCACCACTGCAGACTCATTTTCTGGATCCTGAACGTACCCCACCACCAGACAGCCAATAGAAAGTGTCCACGTTATGCAGACAGTGACGTGAATACCCGAAAATGGACATGGCTCCTGTAAACAGAAGAAGAGAGAAGACTTGGGACTGGAGGGTAATGTGACTATGGCTTCAGTTGAGTAATAACTCAAGATTTTGTGTGTACACCACTATAAATTTGGCCTAATGAGAGTTTGGCCAGTAAAGAGTCCCTGTGCTACCACACAGTCAGTGCTAGTACATATTATAGATTTATTTCAGAAATGCTGCATGTACAGGCATCCCCAAGTGCTCACATACTGTAACATCTCACACTCTTATACTACAAACAATTCCAATTAAAAAGGAAGGTCAAGCTGAGATTTTATTTGGTCCATCAACCTTTACATATAAGTTCACACAAAAACACATCCTATTGCTTTAAGCCCATTAGCTCAGTTCTGTATGGATTCAGATGTGGTGGGGAAGCAGCATCCCAGAGGAAGACTTTCAAGATCCCTGAATATTAGAAAAAGATGGAAGATGATTACATTGCCTGCATCCACCAAGGATGAGTTATCGCCTCGTGTTGGATTTGTACTTTTAACTCCTCTCATTATTCCACATAACGTCTTCAGCTTCTCAGAGGAATTCCAAGTCTTTGTTATGATAACTGTACTCATATTGCTCCATGCCATAGCTCTAAGTGGTCTCCTAGTATGGTGCTTCCATCCAATGCTCCAGCATATGTGTTAGGTCTCTTGATGCTCCTGTTGTAGATCTTCACTAGCACCGATGTTAGTTGTATGCAGTCTATGTCCTCCCTTTACTACATATAACATTCCTTTACACCTCCTCCCAATACTTCATATCACATGTCTATAGCTTTATGTATACATCCAACAGCCTCTCCGCAAAGTCTTCCTACTTATCGGCGAATACACATAAATATCCATTAGGTGTCTTCAATTTCAGCTCTGATGCTCCTAGGTAGGAGGAGATGGACTGCTCTCAACCACACTGGTGTATGAGGGTGGGCTGGCCATACTGGGAGGGTACAGGTAAGGTTTGGCAGTCACCTGTAGGATGGAAAATTATGGAACACAGTTACACAAGCTTCTCAGAGTCTACATGTTCTTGTTTAATATTAGGTCATCTGTGTAAACTTCTTTTAAACATCTAATTTTAATGTAAAAAAAACCTGAAGGGGTCTACAACTCCCCTATGCCTCTGATCTGTCCAGGACTGGGCACTGCCTCTCTCTGGGTTCACCCACAGCACTACTACAGTTAAAATCCGGTATTGCAGTATTACTTTTCTTATAAGCTCATGCCACACCTCCCAACTTTCTAAGATCTTCCAGCACAAACCTGTCTTGTGAGACAGGTTCCTATTTAGAGTTTAAACTGACCCAATAGCCCAGTCCATTGTGATAACCATGTCTGATCATGCTTGCCGTCCAACTGAAACCTCTAAAGAAATGTAAATGTAGCAAGTCAAAAGGGTCTACAACTCCCTTACTGTATATCCCTGATCTGTCCAAGACTGGGCACTGCTCTCCCGGGTTCATCCACAGCATTGCTACAGGTGAAAACTGGTATTGCGGGGTGTCCTTTCATACACACTTGTCTTATAAGCTTCAGCCACACCTCTCAACTTTCTAAGATCTTCCAGCACAAACATGTCTTGTGAGACAGGTTCCTGTTTAGAGTTCCACATAAGCCAAAAACTCAGACCATTGAGATATGGTCTGATCATGCTTTGCCGTCCAACTCTTCTCTTTCAGCCAATCAGATCAAAGGTTACAGAGGGCAAACCACTAAAAAATAATGTTTACTGGTTGCTGTAGATCAATGCATTTTCCTAGTTTGCCCAACAAAGCAGATTTCTACCTCTTTAACTTACCTCACTGTATGGCGGTGGTGCGCCCATGTCTATGAGCGGAGTGTCTCTTAGGGACAACGTTGGTTCAGCTCGAGATCGGAAGCGGCAGACATTATTGCAGATCCCACAAAGGCACAGCACTGAGAACACAATCAACATACAGATAAACAGGGGCCTGCAAAACAAGAATTTATATATTTCTATATGTAGGTTTACAAAAAGAATATGTCTTCATTGTAACCTAAGGAAGGGAAAACCAGTTAAGGAATATCTGATTTTTTTCCCCCAGAGAGGCCAATCCCACGATCGATGTCTAGGAATCGTTCTAAAGTCAAGCTGTTGATTGGTCACCGTGCAGCCTAGAAAACCAGCAGTTCAACCTCTTACATGATTTTCCAGGATGCTGCATACTGGGGATTTGATAAGACCCAGATTTGGACATTCCTTGGACCAACTGCCGCGCCACACAGGAGCCGTTCTGTCAGATAGTGGCTCGGCTGGTGATTTCTAAATGGAAAAGAGAAATCTGAGGGCTGCCATTGCTGACCTCTCCATCTGAAAATGTTGGTTGCCCTTTATGCAAAACCAATCAAGGGATTACTGACCATACACCAGTAGAACTTTCTTTGAAAATGGTCATTTACAGAGCATTTTTTAGATTTTCTAATGGTAAGTAGGGTCTAACTGACGTTCGTTTTCAACCGTAGTGATGAGACAAATTAATGGAAGGCTAAAACCCTCACCCGTTTTTTTTGCTGTCTGTTTCCCTTTTTGAGATCTGACCTGCCTTCTTGTCTGGGAGACATTGGAACAGTAAGTGAGAAGGAATTCCTCCTGGAAGGCTCTAAGCTGCAATACAATATGACTAAGGCTCTAACCCCTACCCACTCTATCTATTACTAAAGCATAAAACATTTTGTCTGGGATGACCTTTCAACCCTTTATAGTTATTTTATCATTATTATAATTACAGGCTGCACAGCCATCATTATGCATTAACAGGAAACAGCGCATTGACTTCCTTGTCTCATATAATAACATTCAGGCAGGTTTTATGAGAATGACACAATTGTGTCACTCTGTTACCCCGGCAAAATCCACTGGCGTCAGCACACATATCATTAATAAATAGAGACAAGACAGCACGTGGTCATTTAGAGGCTGTGATGAGTAACAGAATACTGCATTGGATAATGTTTAATTTGGGGTGAACAATAATGTTACAGAATTATACAGAGAACAGGAAAAGTTGGGGTAGTTCCCGACTGTCCCTACTTTAGAGCCAAAGTCTCCTTTCCCTCTGTCTGCCTGTACGTATAAATTATTATTTAAAGGGAATGCTACTTATTTTTTAAATAAATATGTTAATGCAGCAGGAGTACGCAAGCTTAAAGCAGACCTTGCACTTCATACAATGCCTTCCCCAGTTTGTGTACTGCAGGTGGTGAAGTCGCCATCTTTCTGATGAGAGCCCAGGGAATACTGTGCGTACAAAATCTCTCAAGATTACACTATAGCACAGTGCAGTAACATCCTCTCGTGAGATTTGGACTACTCGGCATCCCTTGGGATCTTGCTGGAAGGGTGGTGACATCACCCTCACTTATGCACCACGGGCAAAAGTGGAGGGAACGGTAAGTATATTCACTAGTTTTTTTTACCCCCACAGTTGTTTTCTGACAGTTCAATGCAACGTATTAAAATGGAGGGGACCCTCACTGAATAAGAGGACTTTATTTTTTAGGTGCAGGGTCCACTTTTAAGGATAAGTCCTTACCTATAGGTTTGGGCCAAGTGATACTTTACCTGTAGGGTCAGTCCAAGTCATACTTTACCTGTAGGGTCAGTCCAAGTCATACTTTACCTGTAGGGTCAGTCAAAGTCATACATTACCTGTAGAGTCAGAGTGATACTTTACCTATAGGGTCAGTCCAAGTCATTCTTTACATATAGGGTCAGTCCAACTGATATTTAACCTATAGGGTAACTTCAAGTCATACTTTACTTATAGGGTAAGTCCAGGTCATACTTTACCTGTAGGGTCAGTCCAAGTCATACCTTAACTATAGGGACAGTCCAAGTGATACTTTATAGGGTCAGTCAAAGTGATACTTTACCTATAGGGTCAGTGCAAGTCATACTTTACCTATAAGGTCAGTCCAAGCCATACTTTACCTCTAGGGACAGTCAAAATTCTACTATACCTATTGTGGCATTGCTTGGCAATAATACAGTGTTATGTGGCCTCAAAGTCACCCAGGAATCTCAGCCAGAGGTGCTGAGTGTCTCCAGGAAGCAATTGCTTTTACCATGAAAAAGCTGGCTTTTCAGTCCTTTCTGGGTTTTCTGGATCATAGCTGGGATTCTGGAGCCAGGAGATTTTGAAGAGAATTGGGAGGAATTAAATCTCCATTCCTGGGTCCGGGCTGTAGTAGTGACCAGCACCTAATTGTGCACCTTTGTACAACCCTCATGAAGAGTGTGCTGGCTAGTGTTGAGTGCTACACCTGGGAGACAGGAGAACTGAAACCCCTTAAAGAGACAGTGCTCCATTTTTTTTTTCCCTGTGGATTGTGAAACGGAGTGACTGCAAGTATGGGGCGCCCCAAGCAAAAAGACTACTATGCAAAGATGGATGAGAATGTCTGGCGGCTGGAGGGATGGTCAACCCCTGTGGAAACTGCACAAGTGCCAGAAAAAGCTGTGCCAGTTTGTGAGTCTGCAGTGGACTGGTGCAAGTGACATTTGGCAGCATTCACCCCAGCTACTATAGTGGCGAAGCCCACACTGTCTGCCCAGAGAGAGTGAGGGGCTGAACAGAGACCCAGCAGTAGTGTTGCTGTTGGTAGTAACGCCTGTCCAGTCAGGTGTGCTGACTGTGTGCCATTGAGCGACCTCCCAGAGAAGTGAGGCAGAGCAACGACAACTGGAGAGAGGATCCCGCATGGCCAGGAGAACCAGCAAGTGTTTAGCAGGAGAGTGCTGTTTCCCATCGCAACCGGGAAGGATGTGTTGCCTGAAGAGAGAGTCCAGCAAAGCCAGTGAGATTCTATATGGAGTGCCATTTCCCAAAGCAACCCAAGAACAAGTGTCCAGTGGGTGAATGTCGTCGTCTCCCATAGGAACTGGGAAGAGTCCATCGCCAAGAGTGCAAAGCTGCAGAGGAGATGTGGCTTAGCGTTCTGTGCAAGCTGTATGTGAGTTACATTCTGCCAGGAGTTGCGAGGAGGGAAACTCCTTTATGAAAAATCATGCAGTAACATGCGCAGCATGTGGCCAAAGGGTCATGGGATGGTGACCTGTCCTGAGCTGTGGGGTACCCCTGGAGGTACTGGTGGGCATGGGATCGAGTCCACAAGCCTGGGATATGATAATGTGTCTGTAGTCACCCCTGGCAACACAAAGAAAAGTTCTGTGGAGTCTGCAGGGGGCGCCAGAGAGGAGTGGACAATGTTGATCCCCAACTCAGCGCTCTCAAATGAAGACAACCACGGTGGCTGCAAGGGTAGGTGAGACTATTGTGAATTAATTGTCTGTTGGAACTGATAGCATTGTAGTCAGAGACTGGCTGTAACCCTGTGTGTGAGGTGGGAGTGATGCCAGTTGAGCATCCCATGGGACATTTTGTGGGAGACTTGCCTCTACAGAGTGTAGTGAATAGTGGGGAGGCAAGAATTAAAAATGCATGCAATAATATGCTGTTTCCATCTAATGCATATTTTGATGTGCTGTACAATGATCATGCAAATGTCTTGCCTACTGTGGCAACAGAAGTATCCTCAGAACCCTCAGTGGGGCCCAAGAGATTGGAGCCAGAGGTTTTTCAGGATAACGGTCTATTAAATGGTGTGATGAAGCGTACTGCGTTGTTTTGTGTCGTAATTTTGCTTGCATGTGTTTGTTTGTCCATGTGATTATGTTTGGAAAAAATTTTTTTTTGTGGAATTAAGTGACTGGGGAGGTTTTTCCTCAGGAGGCCCAGGAGAGGTTTCCTGATCAGAAAGCTTCAGAAATGTTACACGGGACCCCTGCTATTAGGGTAACCAACTTTAAACGCAAATGGTAATATAACTGATGATGATGCTGCTGAGTCGGGTAGTTATCTATCAGATATCTGTAATGTCATTGACAATGAGGAGGATGTTTATGGTCAGAGCAGTTGTCAGTAGATATGACGTTCTGCGAGGTTGCCGTTGGAGATGACCACTCCATGGTATCTGAGTCCTCTACACGCAGTTTAAGAAAATCCAACGTAATCAATAAAACAGTACAGACAATGATGAGGTGCAATGTGCAGAACAACCAATTAGATCAGGGGTGGCTAGTCGGGACTAGCTCAGGTTCTGACCTAACCTGGTGTGAATCTGAGCTCCTCCGAACAGTGGAAGGATGCTCCTTCCACTGCTGCCCACATAAGCAAAGGGGTGGGATGCTGTGATCTTCATGGCCGCATGGCTATATTTGTTCAATGACAATGCCTTTAATGTGGCCATACAGGTTAATAACGTCACAACATCCTGCCTCTTTGTTTATGTTCAGCTGCATCATAGAAATTGCCCCAGCCTGCAGCTGATCGGACGGCGACTCCCATGGTACGTCTGGGTTCGAAAGAGCTTTAGTTCAGAACGAGTTTGGTCTACACCTGAGCTCATGCCTAGTAGCCAACCTCGGCACTCCAGCTATGGTTAACCTACAAATCCCATGAGCATTGCAAGACTCTGACAGCCACAGGCATGACTTGCAGAGGCTGATCCCTGAATTAGATTATAACAGTGTATGAAGTACAACCGTTGGCAGGGCAGCAACTATTAGGCTTCAAGTGACCTCTGACCTCATACATAAGCTTAAGGCTTAGCTAAAAAAAGCCCAGCTAAATAAAGGGCTGGTTATAAATCTTTCATAGGTAAGCCTGGAATGTTTCAATAATTTAAGACCATATATTCAGATTCTTACATAAGCCCTCTTGTAACTGGGCTCATTAAACTAACCCTCGAAGCACAAAGCACCTACAGCACTGCATACCTAACTCCGCTGTCGGTGATAACATCACGTTGACAGCAGCATGCAACTGGCCTTTCTTGAGATTGGACTCAATGATGGAGACACATTGGGATCCTAATGACCCTTCTACCGTGAAGGCAGCACCTGGGTACCCATAACACTTAGTGCTAGATGGATTTTCAGTCATTGTTCGGGACCATAGTCTAGCATCACATGTGCTTAGAAACTATAAAGAAGCCACTGGATCGTCATGACAGCCCGGATTAGAAGGGTTCCTGCCATGAGTGAAATTTGGGAAATAACAGAGAGTTCTAGGTAGATGTATGCACCTCAGGAAACTCCAAGAAAGATCAGAAGTTCTCATCTGTATACTTGTCCAGGGTTGGTGACTCAATGGCAGCCTTTAGAAGTCTCTATGGACAGGTTTCCTTTAAAATATTGACATTTACAGAAGAAGCTGCCTGGCCTCCCCCAGAATCTGGAACACGAGACTCCGAACTAACAAACTCTGATCTCCATGAATAGAAGTGCTTCTAGTCTCTGCCATTCTGGGAAGTCACCAATCTGGGTAAACATCTGACACTGCGTGAAAGTCTCCGGAGGATTAATTGCGCACCGGCACAGTGCTGTTTATGTAAAACCCAGTCTACAGACACAGCTCAGTGATCTCTGGTGACGTTGGTGGGAAATAGAACTGAAATGACACAACTGTCACGTTCTTATGTCAGCCATATTAAAGAACACCATTCAGTAGGGTATTCTTTCAAAATACAATGTACAGGTATTGTACATACAGCTAGTGTAAGTACCTGAACCTGTCTTGATGTTAGTCTCTGCCATCTACTGCATAGCATCACTTAGACTAGAAGAGGGTAAGGCAGCACTAGAAGCCAGTCAGTCTGTTGCATGAACATATGCTGATAGGGAACATGCAGAACAAAGAAGGGAGTAGAACTGATGGCTTATCAATGCGTTTCTGCTCCTTCAGTCTCCAATCAAAAGGCTGTGGGCAGGAAGGTGACACCACTCTAACACATAAAGTGGTGTCGCCTTCCTGTCTTCTGTTGTCTGGAAGGGGTATCACCCTGTGCATGATCTCTTCAGTGTAGTCCCCACCCCTGATAACCAGCACCGCTTATGTGCTACGTCCTAGGCGAAATACTGTTTCTGTGAGACTCATTTAGGGCAAAGTCGTTTTAACCCACCCACTTTCTGGCCCACCATGTATTGCTCACCCCACCACTCCTTTCTCTGTCGGAGGTTGTTCGTTTGGTAATGTCACCCCCCTCCATCATGGGACAGTATTCGGGTCTGTCGATTGTCTACTCAGACCCGATAACTGCATCATTTGAGGGGGTCACATGTTCCCCCATACTGGGGGGCACTGAGTATTTTGTGGAGACTGCGATAGAGTTATGGAAGGTGAGTATAAGTTAGTTGGGGAGTGGACTTTAAGGTGATTGTTTTAACCCACCCACTTTCTGGCCCACCATGTATTGCTCACCCCACCACTCCTTTCTCTGTCGGAGGTTGTTCGTTTGGTAATGTCACCCCCCTCCATCATGGGACAGTATTCGGGTCTGTCGATTGTCTACTCAGACCCGATAACTGCATCATTTGAGGGGGTCACATGTTCCCCCATACTGGGGGGCACTGAGTATTTTGTGGAGACTGCGATAGAGTTATGGAAGGTGAGTTCCCCAATTGGGTTCCCTTTTTAAGGGGTCATGGTGCATCACTTAACTGCAGTAGAGAGCTAGAACAATACATCTGCTACATTTAGTTCCTAGGGTAGGATGAAGTGACAGGGTCTCTTTATAAAGCACATAGTTCACATGTGCATGGGCACCTACCCATATCAGCTGAGTGCAAAGGAGCTGTGTGCATAGACACCTACCCATACCAGCTGTAGTCCAGGTAGACTTTGTTCTGTGATTCACAACAGGAAGTCCCATCGAGACACCTACACAGGAAACAGAAATTGTCATCACTCATTATAAAATTACAGCATCATTTACGATTACAATATGACCAATCATCGGTCACTATTGTGCAAGAAGTTCTTATCTGTGTGTTACACACGAGCCTAATCTGCCAGCAGTGCCAGTTGTCTGAGCATTGTGCGCGATAATCAGACAGAGCAAGGGTTCATTACTACGTGATAAGGTGCAATGCATAATAACACAGGCACCCTTGCTGATCATACAGGTGCCCTTACTGATAGTACTGGCACCCTTGCCATGTATATAGGCCCCCTGCTGATGATACAGACACCCTTCCCGATGATGGATACCCTTGCCATTTATACAGGCAGGAGGAGCTTGATGGACAAATAGGAGGAGTCTTGTGCTATAATAAAAGGGGAATAGGGAATATTTTGGGAAACGTGAGAAGGGAATTTAGGGTGAAATAGAGACATAAGCTGAGTATTATCATAGAATGAACTTACTCTGTAACCCGGCATGGCACCTGAAAAGAGAAGACATCGTGTTAGACACTCTGCCATATAATGACCTTCAGGACAGAAAACCTTTTTATTGCACATTTTCCTCTGACCGGCAGAAAATCATGACTACATAAAATAATCATCGGGCAATGGGTACCAAATTCAGCTAATTATAGAACACATAATAGGTCTTTTTACCCCTTGTGGTGAGAGGTATTACACTAAACTGCATATTAGTTGTCAGTCTACAGTGGATACTGGGAAAAATGGCAAGATTTCTACCGTACAAGCAAAACACTTGAGGTCTACTTATAAACAATTTGCAGAGCCATTCACCCTGAATATCTGAAAACATTTGTTCTGAGCAAATAGAGGCAATAACGAATGATCTTAGTATATTTTCTTTTCAAGTCAAATATAATGTAATACCTCCTTATGGCCACTAGATGGACATATTAAATGAGTATTTATTTCTTATTCTCTTCAGTGCCATCATGTGGTATTACATTCGACGAATTTGAATATAAAATATACTAAGAACAGCTGTCGGTAAATATCAGATTGTGCCGTGTGGTTATGTACAGCACAATGATGATGTCACTGCTACTTTTACAAGGTAATATGTGGGTTTGCAATGCCATTGGGTGCACACAAAGTGGATTTATATGCTTTGTTGCTATTGAAGATCATATTGAAATTAAAGTTTGTGTGAACGGAGTTCCGCGTTAAATGAATAGCGGCCGGGACCCAAGTTCTTTTGGAGCACAGATGTTCTGTAAACAGTATAATGACGCAGGAGATACGGGTCACCGCTGGCAGTGTCCATTATGATGTCATCCAGATCAGAATTTTCCATGCACATGAATTGCAGCTTAATGGCTGCGCCGTGTATGAGGACACGTGCTGGGAAATACCCGTCTGTTTACATCAACCTTCCCCTGGGATTATTATTGGCGTCAAGCTCAGGGGAGAGCACGCACCACGAACACACACGGCTTATCTAGTAAGGAAACATAACAGCCAATCAGCATTCATCACTTCCTATCAGAAATAAAGGCTAAATGCTGATTGGTTGCCGTTGGGCAATGGGCATATTGTTCTTTCCTTTCTTAAAGAGAACCTGTACTAAACTGGATCAGTCATGGCTGTCCTTATAGAACAGGGGTGGGCAACTCCAGCCCTCCAGCTGTTGTGGAACTACAAGTCCCATGAGGCATTGCAAGTCTGACAGTTACTGGCATGAGTCCCAGAGGCATGATGGGATTTTTAGTCAAAGTACAGCTGGAGGGCCACCGTTTCCCCACCCCTGTTATAGAGACTCTGACATCAGAATATTCATTGTAACAACAAACTCCCAGAAGATGATCGGCTCAAGTCACCAATCAGGAGAAGGAAAGTTATTTAAAAAAAATTACAGTTATGTTCCACTGAATCCAATCAGATATAAAATAATGACAGTTATGTTCCATTTGAGTCCAATGAGATATAGAAAAATGACAGTTATGTTCCATTGAGTCCAATGAGATATAACAAAATGACAGTTATGTTCCATTGAGTCCAATGAGATATAAAAAAAATGACAGTTATGTTCCATTGAGTCCAATGAGATTTAAAAAAAATGACATTTAATTTCCCTGGAATCCGAGATTTAAAAAATGACAGAGCCAACGCGTTTCGGGGGGGGGGGCACAAACAAGCCCCTCCCCCTTTCATGAGGGCTTAAAGGAAGCCAGACTATGGGGAAGGAAATAGACTGGACAGCCTGTTGGTATTGCATAGACAGAGAGACGGAGATACTGTGCTGCTGGATCCATAGACCGGCCAAACAGAATATAGTGTACAGGTCCTCTGTGTCACCGGGAGCCGAGATGAAGTTGCGCAATGTTCGGCAGGTATTAATGTTTAATCCTCTAGTTGGTATGTAGCAATCCGTCCAGCCATTAATAGATAACGAGCACCGCCGGCCTCACAGGAGGCATTGTAACCCAGCCGACTGCATGGACTCTGCGCTCGTGTCACCCGTATCAGGATAAAAGGCCTCCAGTAAAGATAAGCTAAACAAAGCAGTCCCTGTATAGTATACATACATACCATGTGCGGCTTGTACAGGAGCAGCCAAGCACATGTAGCGCCAACATATACTGTGGCGTCTGCTGGAAAGGAGCTTACAGCTGGCCAGAGCTGGTAAAACTTCAATGGAAAAACCAATCATTTTCGGAGCAATCGTTTCATGTTGGCGGTCACCAGCGCTGCTCGGGGCCGACGCGTGAACATCAACAGCGTAAGACGTTGACACAGCGTCAAATCCGGTCCATATGCAGGAACGCGGACACAGATTTTTCGACTTTTGGTTGACCTAGTTAAATGCTGCAGACAAGAGTGCATAGGCCCCATAGCATACAAACTGATGCGTTTCGATCCATATAAATTCCAAATCTGCACGCAGAAAATGGAACACGAGCCCATTTACTGCTAAGAAATGCAATTATTTAACGGCTGGAAGAAAGATTTTGGGTAGTATAACATTTTTGGTATATAGTATGATTTTTTTAATAGAGATTTATACATCAGAACAAGAAGAGGGACAACGCAGGAGAAAAGAGGGACGGGGTTTTTTAGAAAAGGGACAGCCCCTCCGGATAAGGGACACTGGGGACCTGTTTGTGGTATGGAAGTACGGAATACTGACGTTCAGTGTGTCTCTCTGACTAAGACTTTGATACATTGCCTCAAGCCCCACTGAAAGGGGATGGTAGCCTCTGAAATGCGTCAGTTGCCTGTTTGTTTTTTGGTTGTCGATTGCGGAAATAAATCCTTCAGCTGAGCCTGCGCTCCTTCCTAAGTCCTGAATAGGTATCCCACCGCACTCCCTACCGGTGGCTGAGGAAGGGACCCTGTGTGACATCTGGCTTCCTTCCTAAACCCTATCACAGCACAAACTGCCGAAGCGAGTAACTCCACTTAAAAGTCAATATTGCACTGTGCCATATAAAACTGAGCACACCCCTTACTCATACATTTACATACCAGTGGTAATAATCTGAAACTTGCAACATAAACATCGGACTGCCCAGGAGCATGTCTTGAGTCAATTAAAACCTTATCTTAAACCCTAATGAAGGAGGAGTTGGCCCCGAAACGCGTTGCATGACTTTTGTTTCCCGGTTGCTACTTGAGAAATAATAATAAAAATTGGACTCCTCAGACATTTGTTTGGTGCTCTATTTAGCGCAATAGACTTTGATTTCTTAATTTGGGGGGCCCATACTTTTTTTTTGGGGGGTGGGGGCATTTTATAGAGGGCTGCAGAACACAAGCTATCAGGGTCAAACGGTGACTTTTTCTGCTAGCTAAAGACTTGCGTCCAGTGCCTGCTTTCTACTTGTCTTTGTAGAATACTGTGACGAGGGGAATTCATCAAAACTGGAGCAGTTGTCCATGGCAACCAATCGACTTCTCTCTTTCATTTCCAAAGCTTCACTGAACAATCTGAAGAGAGAAGCTGATTGGTTGCCACCATAAGCAACTGCTCCAGATGATCTCTGCTCCAGTTTTGATAACGTCCCCTCAATGGGGGGAAGTCATGAAAACGGGAGCAGACAGTTTTCTTATGGCAACCAATCAGCTTCTCTCTTCAGTTTTGTTCAGTTAAGCTTTGAAAATGAAAGAGAGAAGCTGATTGGTTACTATGGGCATCTGCTCCAGATTCTGTCTGCTCCAGTTTTGATCAATTCCCCTCTTTGTGGCTCGCAGGCTGTCACAGGTTGATTGGAGCTACTAATGTTTACTATCCGTCTGTAATGTTTACTTTTGATCTATTTATTATTACCTGCAATGTTTACTAAACCTGTTTCATGTTTACGGCGACCTTCCTGGTGATGACGGGAGCTCTGAATGTTCTGTTTGTTGTATATCTTTCAGAATGCTCTCGTTACATGAGGCGTGCACACCTTGACAATGACCCAGAACACAGTGGGAGGGGGGTGGGGGCATTGGGGAGGCACAGTGCCAGGCATGGGCACAGATTGGGGCCACTATGACATTAAAGTATCTAAAGCAGGGGTGGGCACCTTTGGCACTCCAGCTGTGATGAAACTACAAATCCTGTTATGCCTTTGCCTCTGGGAGTCATGCCTGTGGCTGTTAGAGTCTTGCAATGCCTCATGGGACTTTTAGTTCCACAGCAGCTGGAGTGCCCAGGTTGCCCACCCCTGCTCTAAAGCTATATATATCTACACTGTATATTAGGTTCAGAGTGTTTACAAGCTCTGTCAGGTTTTTACAGCTAGGGAGATTCGCTTTTCCTATCCGTCCTGATAGCTGTTGTCACTGAGACAGGAAGTGATTTGGAATCCATGATTTTATCCCCTGTTCATAGCTATGCAGAAACATGGGTCCACCCACATGTGTCCCTGTATTGCATGAGATGGCATGTGACACTGTTTGGTGCCCTGTGTTGGCACCTGAATCAAATGGCCATCACATGTGTACCGCGCATTATACGGTAGGCAGTCCATTCCAATTAAAATAGATTCCACTAACCGCAACGCACCTTCAATGTCACAGGCTATCAGTCAAACATAAATTAAGGTAAATCTCTCAATGGTGACACCAGTGCTGGTGACCACCGTCTAAGAGGGGATTTCTCTCCCTGTGTAGAGGATTCCTTTCACTTCCTGTTGTGTTTTCAGGAACAAGAAGTAAAGGGAAATCTCCCCAATGGGGACACATGGTAAATCAACACCAGGCAGCGGATTTAAACATTACAGCCTCTGCCCAAAACTTAGAAAAGGTTTTCGGCTTTAGATACACTTTACAAGTGATGCAATCTGATTCTTTACAGTGATGTGAGTGTATATTTCAACAATCCCTTAGATGTGGACAAGTCTACCAGAGATTGTACCATCAGATTGTACCATATATGGTCAGCTTTACATGAATGGGTTGTCCCTACTTACCGAGGCTGTGACAGGTAGCAGGCAGCCGGCCAGGAGCTTGGCGTAGACTTTCTGGTGAAAAGTACACAGTGCCATGACTGCGCGTGTCCTCAGATCAGTGCCGGTAGGCACACTCCGGACGTGGATTCTGTTGTCAGTGCTGGCACACACACTATGGCAATGTATCAGCTGTCAGTGCTGGCACACACACTGTGTCAATGTACTCCGCTGTCGGTGCTGGCACACACACTGTGGCAGTGTATGCGCTGTCGGTGTTGGCACACACACTATGGCAGTGTACTCTGCTGTTGGTGCTGGCACACACTATGGTAGTGTATCCTCTGTTGGTGCTGCACACACACTGTGGCAATGTATCTGCTGTCAGTGCTGGCACACACACTATGGCAATGTATCAGCTGTCAGTGCTGGCACACACACTGTGGCAATGTACTCCGCTGTCAGTGCTGGCACACACACTGTGGCAATGTATCCACTGTCGGTGCTGGCACACACACTGTGGCAATGTACTCCGCTGTCGTTGCTGGCACACAAACTTGGCAATGTATCCGCTGTCAGTGCTGGTACACACACTATGGCAGTGTATTCCCCTGTCGGTGCTGGCACACACACTGTGTCAATGTACTCCGCTGTCGGTGCTGGCACACACACTGTGGCAGTGTATGCGCTGTCGCTGTTGGCACACACACTATGGCAGTGTACTCTGCTGTCGGTGCTGGCACACACACTGTGGCAATGTACTCTGCTGTCGGTGCTGGCACACACACTGTGGCAATGTATCCGCTGTCAGTGCTGGTACACACACTATGGCAGTGTATTCCACTGTCGGTGCTGGCACACACACTCTGGTCACTTCTTTTCTTCTCAGTGTCACTTTTTTCCTGTCTTGCTCACATCCTCTGTTGTCTGTGTGCTGTGTCTGTGCCTCTTCCTCTCTCCTCCCTCTACCCTCCTCCTCCTCCTTCTAGTCTCAACTTCTTCCAGTCTCCCTCATCAGTCACCGGCTCACCCTCATTGCCCTTCTGTGATTCTTTCTTTTCCTGGTTCACACCTCCATCCGAAGCCTCACCTCCCACCTCTGTCACACCTCCATCCCCATTCTCACCTTCCATCCTTTGTCACACCTCCATCCTCGGCTTTACCTCCCATCCTCAGTTACACCTCCATCCCCATCCTCACCTTCCATCCTTGGTCACACCTCCATCCCCAGCTTCACCTCTGAATCTCTGCCACACCTCCATCCTCAGCCTCACCTCCCATCTTCAGTCACACCTCCTTCCCCAGCTGTACCTCCCAACCTCTGTCACACCTCCTCCCTCTCTTTGTCATCGGACTTCTTGGCTACCTATACAGCCTTTATCCTCGGTTACTCCACCTCCTGCTCTCTCCTCTTTGTCCTCCCCACAGAGTTGCCCAGGAGACTTTGTTCAGCACTCGGAGCATCCCAGCTGAACACATGGCATAGTCTACCACCATACAAAGAATCTGTATTCCAAGAGGTCTGCTAAACATGGTGCTTGACTCAAAACACATCTCTTTTCTTTCTGAAAAATGTATACAGCAGGGAAATGATAATAAAGGTAACAAGGTGTGACTGCACTGCTGAAGATATGCGGGCAATGGTCCAGCTTATATAAAAAAAAAGTCCCCCAAAATCACACCAACCAACATTTGGGAAAGTTAAATTCTTTATTACAAATCCAAAATATTCTGTTAACCCATAAAAACTTTTAAAAAACACTTACAGCAAATACAAAAGCAATAATATGCACTATATAAAGTATCCCTCAAATATATTACGTCGTTGGAATATCATTAATGCCAAGAAAGAGTAGACCTGAGTCCAAACAATGTAACCAACTCCATCCTGCCAGGCCCCAGTGCTAGAAAGGTCTTCAGAATTACACCAGCATCCTTGAATATCATTCCTTTTACTGACCCAGCTTGTTCCTTGACCCATCTTTTCAGCTGCTCACCTGTTCCTGTGCTGACCTAGGCATGTTTCTCCAACTTTGATTCCTACTTGTCCTGGTTCCTCACTGTCCACTAGTTGCTGACTCCGTCTCTGCACTGCACCACCCGCCTGTTGCTGACTTTGGCGAGTACCTGACCTTGATCACTTCGTACCACTAGACAACCATGCTCTCAAGTTCCTGTGTGTCCCTATCCAAAGGCGGACTGGAGTAGTAAGAGAGGCTGCCTAAATCTTCTCAGGTTCCCATCCCAGTCACGTGGCGGCACCTTCCAGTGTAAATGGCGCTTGAAAGTGATGTCTTTCTGAAGGATTCTCTCTGCTGCTTTGACACTTCCAACTTGAGGGCTGAATATAAACCTTGACCTAAACCACACGTGTTTGTCCCACTTCAGTATTCGGGGAGCATGTGCCCAGTTACCCACATTGGTTGCATCACCACCTGAGACTCATGTGCCTACTCCAGAGAGATTCACAGCGGGTTTCAAGCTTTTATGAAAGCATGTCAGCTCTACTTCATGTTACAGCCCCGGACCTTTGCAGTGGAAGCCACCAAGGTAGGCTTTAGTGTTTCCTACAGCTTGAAGAGCTACAAGCCTGGGCCCATCTTCTACTTGAGCAGAATAGTCTCCTCCTATTTCCTCCTTCTTTGATGCTATGGATCAACTCTACGATGAGCCTCAGCTTTCCACCACATTGAATCCACATGTTCTTCAGCAAGGTCAGAGATCTGTGGAAGATTATGTAGCAGAATTCAAAAGGTGGAGTTCTAACTCTAAATGGAACAATGGCACACTCTACTTTCAACTTGGGACTCTCTGATGAAATGATGATCAACTTGCTTGAGTTGAGGTACCTGGGTCACTAGAGTAGCTCATCCGTTTATCAATTCAGATAGACCTTCACCTAAGGTCTGAAAAGGTCAGTCAGTTTCGGTCAACTGGGATGCTTCCTAAGGTTTCACCTCCCCTGGATGCTGCAAACTCTTCATCACCTGTTATTGGTACTATTAAAATGCCTGGGCCTACGTGCTGTGTCTTTAACATCCTCTTCTATCATGTGAAAAAAAAAAAAGTGACATCAGAACAACCTCTGTATATCACCCTTCCTGTCTTCTTACAGTTTCCAGAAGGAACAGTCCAAATCCAGTCTATAATTGACTCTGGTACAAGTAGCTGCTTCATTGTCTGCACCATATATCTCTGCAAACCTAATCTCCAAAGTCTTTTTATTTATCTGGTGGATCAAACATTAAATAGGGGTCCATCACCCAAGAGACCCATCCTCTTACTGCTATAATTGATGCTGGACACAGAGAATTACTTTAACTGGATATTATTGCATCTCCCTTGTTTCCGATTTATTCTGGATGTGCCTTGGCTACAGGTACACAATCCTCAGATAGACCAGACTATGGCTAGAGTTATTTTCCAGTCTTCCTACTACCTAGAGAACAGTCTTTCCTTCCCCAACAAGTCACATGCATCTCTGTTGCCTGAGCCAATCATCCGACTTTCCCAAATTTTTTCCACAGCTTTACCATGATTTCTTGGATGTGATTGGCAAGCAGAAAGTAGGTGTTTTTCCACCTCACAAAACATATGCCTGTCCCACTGAACTGTTGCCTGGGGCAGAAATTCCTTCTGGAAGAATTTCTCTGTGTCTATGACTAGCTTAACCCAATCTATTAGGATCTGGCTTTTTGAGGTCACCCCCACTCTTGACCAAGCCACTTTTCTAGGCAATGAGACTTAACACTCTTTATCATTATCAGTTACTACCATGGCTTTGATCCATTGCTTGGAAGTTTTTGTTTTAAAATTCATGGCCTCATCATGATGTAAAGTTTTCAGTGTATACGATGTGAAAGTAAACTCTTCCTGAAAGCGTTCTGGTTGACTGGCTGTTATCGGGCCCGGATTCCCCACAAGGCCACCAAGGCCCGGCCTCGGGGCGGCAGGGCGCAGAGGGGCGGCAGCGGTGTCCTTGTGGGGAAGTTGCCCTCTCTACATTCAGTCCTGCTTTGTACAAGCAGGACTGAATGTAGAGTGAGGCAGACAATTTTTCGTTTACATGTGAAATCGGCGATGTCGCCGATTTCACATGTAAACAGTGTGCAGGCTTCTCCCCCCTGCACTTACCTCTCTCCTTTGGTTCCGTCCTCCGCTGCCGAGTCCCGAGTCTCTGACTGCAGTGAGCAGAGCGGCCGGGGGGCGCATCACCTGATCCCTGCATCACCTGATCCCTGCATCCACCAAAAGTGTGGCCTCCCGTCTCCCACGCTGTTAGAAGCTGCATACAGAGCGTGCTGGTTACTACTTAAACTGGCGTGCGCTGTGTGCAGCTTCTGAGAAGATACGCTATTAGCGTAGCAATAGTGATGCAAAATGCGCAGCCGGCTTCCCCGCTATGCTAATAGCGTATCTTCTCAGAAGCTGCACACAGCGCGCGCCAGTTTAAGTAGTAACCAGCACGCTCTGTATGCAGCTTCTAACAGCGTGGGAGACGGGAGGCTGCGCTTGTCGGTGGATCCAGAAATCAGGTGAGTATTTAAAAAAAAAAAATTGGTTTATTTTATGTTCCCGGGGACATAATTTGTCAGGGGACGGTCTCCTGAATCCGGGGACTGTGCCCAGAAATCAGGGATGAATGTAGGGCTGCAACAACTAATCGACTAAGTCGATTATAATCGATGATTGAAAAAGTTGTCAACATTCTCAATCATCGATTAATCAGCTTTCGATTAGTTGGCCTTGTTCACGGCTTCACACACGCCACGTGCCACTGCCAGACCTGCCCACGTTCCACACGCCGCACCTCCTCCCGCTTGCTGATGCCAGACCCGTTCGCATCCACGCTCCACATGTGTAATGCCGCCGGACCGCGTTCCCCTGTGTCAGCGACGGCTTCCTTGCGTTCCACTGTGGAACGCGTAAGCCGCTCAAGGTTACTGGTGACGCGGCGGCTGCGTTCCACACTGGAACGCGGAAGTCATGCTGTACGAACCGCGGCTCCTCCCCTCGCCCAGGCACTATTTAAGAGCATCAGAGAGGCAACATGGCGTTCCGAAATTGAGGTCAGAACGCCTGTTGCCTCCTGAACCTGCTACCTGTACCAAACAAAGCCTTGGACCTGCTGTCACCACGCTGTGCGCTGGATGCCCACTGCTCTGCAACTCATCGCTGCAAGAACCTGGACACTAACCGCAAGTACTGCTCCAATTGGAGCTTAGCTCACTGCAATACAAATCCTCATTGTTGTATGGACTGTCAGTGTTGAGTGGTAACCACGTCCTGGGATTCCTCTAGCAACCATCAGATACTATATAGTTTGTGCCTTTCCTTTCAGTATTCAGGTTATGAAGTAGATAACCATTGTTTCCTCTATAGCCGGTGCCATTCTGCATTGATTGCTGTATAATTTTACACTTTCCATTTCACTATATTACACACCACTTTTTTTTTCTTATTTCCACCGCTCCAAGCTTGCTCCTGTGATGGACTACAATCTTAATACAAATTAGTAGTACATCACTGGAGCCTTTTGTTTTGGAGCAGAGAGCCCGCACTGACCACCTGGGAGCTACCACAGAGCCATAACTTATTATTAGGGAGCCCCCACTGGCCACCAGAGATCCCGCACTGACCACCTGGTGGTCCGCATTGGCCACCTGAGAGCCTAATTAGGGAACCACCTCTGCTGCACACACACGCACTCGTGAAACTCTCTGGACCCCTGGTGAGAGCCCACACAGCCCACCTGAGACCCTTGAGACATCAGGCGGAGAACCCAGAGCAACAGAGTATGTAGCTTCATATTATTCTGCATTGCGCTGTGTAATGTATTGCTGGGATTTGTAGTCCTCTATAGCTGATGCTGTTCTGCATTGCTGTATAATGGTATTGCTGGGAATTGTAGTTCTCTATAGCTGTTGGTAGTCATTATTGCTGGGATTTATAGTCCGCTATAGCTGATGGTATTCTGCATTGTTGTGTAATGTATTGCTTGGAATTGTAGTTCTCTATAGCCAATGCCATTCTGCAATGCTGTACAATGTATTTCTGAGTTAGTGGCAGAACTACCAGGGTCGCAGCAGTCATGCACGCGCACAGCCCTGACGAGGCATCCCTCCATTACCAGTGTGCTTTACATTTCCTAAACCGATAAATACATTCACACTACTGTTACATGGATGGCAAAAGTGGCAGACGGGCGGGGAGAATGCGGGGTAGAGGCAGAGCGGGAGGGGGGCCAAGTTGCCGCACCATGGGCCTCTGGGTTGTACTTGCCCCCTGGGCTAAAAGTTGCCAGTCAGCCCCTGGATACTAGTGGTAATTAGGGGGGCA